GACAATTTGTACTCCAATAGTGAAGTCAATGCTCGAATGAAAGAGAAATGAGTACAAGAGAGGACAAGAGAATTTGGCTAGGGTTAGGTTGCATACCTTTGTTGATGTAAGCGCACATATATATAGGGAAATGCAAAAGGACCAAGTGAGTTAATGGACCAAGCCCAAGCCCAATATGAGTTTCATTATTCAATAAGTCTAATCCAATTGAATAGTCAATGTCACATCGACATATATGGGATCCCTTCCGCCTGAGCATGCCACTGAATTTATAGGTGTAACAATAATCCTCAAAGTCTAAGTCATACATTCATGTATGGCTCAGACTTTAAAATACAAGCCATTAAGTAGGCAAAGTCTTACAGATTGTCTAAAAAATATGAGCAGCTCCAATAAGTGAAAGCTTAAGAACTACTTTGAAATATGCATAGATACCAAATAGCTCAGGACTTACGAATTGCCTTGAGAGCATAAGCCGTTCTAATATGAGGATTTACTAACTGTTTCGAAAATATCCGTGTAAGCCTAAACAAGCGAGGGCTCACAGATTGCCTTGGAAGATAGATGTCGCATATTATTTATCAAAATTTCGACAATATCTCCTCTGTAATATAGACTAAACCAATATGTAATATAACATAATATCTCCACTGCACATATACAAAGAATTGGAATCCATTAGATCCCTCCAAATACTAATGACAATAGGGTGATTAATATTAAAGTAAACTTCATTAAGATAGAATATGTAGAGAGTTTATCATATATCATAGCAGATGATATGTTGTCGATGATAAATGAAAATATAGATAACATGGTATACGTACTGGCTGTAATAAAAATAATGTCATGACATGTTAGTAATGATGTAGCATGCGTATTTGATTACAATAATATAATGCATAAGCTAGCAATAATAATGTAATGATACTAAGATACTAGTATCATAATAGTCCACCTAGTCCAGATATGAATATTCATATAATGCATTTGGATAAGGATGATGCATAAATAACTACGATGAAATTGATGCAACAATGAGATTATATAAGCAGTTGAGGCGATGCTTTAGACATAAGTAGGAGAGATGATGTTCTAGACATGAGTAATAGAGGCGATGCTCTGCTCAAGACGTGACTAGTAAAGGAGACTCTCTATATGTGAGCACTAGAGGTAATGTTCTGAAAGTTAGTAACAAGGGCGATGCTTTGAATATAAGTTGCTGCGATAATCATATGCAAAGGCGATGTCTGAATCTAAATAGTTTTGATAAGTTGATGTAGAAGTGATAATGTGAATAGCGGAGGCGATGCTCTGAATGTAAGCAGCTTTGATAAACTTATATAGAAGTGATGCTCTGAATATATAAGCTGAATAAGCTGCTATACTGATATTGAGGCATAAACAAACTCTGAATATATAAGTTTCTGTAGTGATACTAAAGCAGAGGTGGTCTCTGGATATATAAGCAGCTATAAGAAGTTGATGCAGAGAAGGCGTTATAAGTTCTTTAAAGATAAATGTAGCTATGATATAGTCAGTGCAAAGAAATGATGAGCTCTTTGCAGGTGGCTTATCTCGAACTATCGAAGACTTATAATCTAGCCTCGAAGTGATGAGGTCTTATAACTGGGCTCAAAAATAGTGAGAGACAAGAAATAAGTATCTCACATAGCTAAGTAATCTTTCTAGCGAAGTTGTGAATAAGCATCTCGATAATAGCTCATCTTGAACTATCGGAGACTTATAAACTGGCCTTGGAGAGACAAGGTCTTATAGCTAACCTTAACGATAACACCTTACATGGCGAGAAATCTCACAGAGCAAGGAATAAATTTCTATTGGATGGCTCTCTCGAACTACCAGAGACGTATAAGCTGGCCACGTATAGCAGAGCTCGACGATAGTGAGGGACAAGAATTCGCATCTCACAAAGCTAAAGAATTCGCATCTCGCACGGTGAGGCAACTTTTAGAGCAATGAATAAATATCACAGGTGACGAGGCATCTCACAAACGAGGAAAAAATATATTGCATGACGCTGCATCTTGAAAAGCGAGGAATAAAAATATTTCATGGTGAGGCATAAATATCTTGCATGGCGAGGTGTCCCGAAGAGCAAGGAATAAATATCTCACATAACAAGGCATTTTGAAGTGTGAGGAATAAATATCTTGTATATGAGGTCAAGAAAAGCTTCTTTTGCAAGGGCAAATACGTTTAATAATTAGCCTCTTCACTTTTTTCAGGAAAAGAGGACTCCAAGATACTATCTCTTCTTTATTCAAGGAATAAGGACTTCAAAAAGTGTAGCCTTTGATAATAAAAAATCCACGAGTTGGGGCTTACCGTCAGTGATAAGAAAATCACGAGCTATGGCCTACCTTCAAAGATGTGAAAATGACGTGCTATGGCTTGCCTTCAAAGATGCAATGCCTCATAAACTATACCCGATAATGCGAGGTTTTAGAGTTGCTTTAAGTAGTAGAGATAGTCACTAGCTGAGGCTCACCTTCAATAATAAGATTATGCATTTGGTTGAGTACTTGTAATGTACTAATGTTCACTCTTAAGAATTTTTTTAGACGAATGTGATAGTTTCAACATAACCCAAATAAATAATACCTTTGATGAGATAGTATGAAACGGCTGCTCAGGCTGCTATTAGACTAGAAATTCAATTGGATATTTTGTCGAACATGTACAATACCCCAAAATGCTGAATTTTTCTTTGTAAGCCACAATGGTATGATTGGGTCTCAACAGACCAAATTAGAATGTTTCTATAGCTGGAATTGGAGGTCAGTTGTGGCTATTTTTTACAGTTAAACTTGACACTCTTGTTTCAGATAGTGGCTGTTTATGATTCGACAACAACGAACAGACACCTATGCTCGCCTTGAAGGCTGTTGCTGGAGGTATGTAACTTTTTGAGGCTCTATCTGCTTGTAACTATAGTATCCAACAGCTTATCCGCCCACAAACAGGTAGATCGGAAGCTACGTTTGAAAATTTTGCAGACTATGCAATCCATTCACAAACCAGTCGATCTTGGTAATTATCCTTGCATTGTCATTGTAAATAAAAATGTTATGTAAAGACCTAAATGGCTATAAACAGGGGCTAAAGTATGTAGACATAGCTCAATACTAGTTATTGAAGGCCATGAAATGGATTGGCCACCTCACGGAGCTTGTAGTTGATCATCAATCAAGTGTTGGAACTAGAAGAACCCCATGTAAGACATTTCGTCAATATGATATACATAATTATAATTCCCAATTTCCACGGCACATTGTATATGCTCTAAACCATAATCCATATTTACCTTTCCCATGTGCCTGTCAATCATATCTGTTGTCACCAAATTCAGTGCAAACGTAAATGAAGAAAATTTTGATTCATCATGTAAAACCATGACAGATTTTTTCTTCTCCAAATGACAATGTCATTATTCTCAAGCTAATACTGTACATTTGATGTCAAATCAAATTCGGTGCCAAAATCATCAAAATCAATTATTATCCGAGGCACTATCAGTTATCCTTAAAAAATAGTGGTAGATGGCCAGTTGACTTGGTCATCTTTAGACAATGACTTTTGACCGTGTAAAAAAAGGGAAACAATGTAAAAAAAATGTTTAAAACAAGGAAAAACCATACATACCCTTAAAGAGGAGAGAAAAGAGAGGAAAAGTTGAATAAAAAAATAATCGCGTGATTTTGAAGATTTGCCAACCCATATTAATGATCCAAACCCAACCATCTCCTCTGCCTCATATTCAGTTCCTTCTGTGGGAAGAAGTATTTGAGACTCTTGTAGTCTGTATAGATTTTACACTTTCCACCGTAGAGATAATGACATCATATCTTTAAGGCATGAATTATCGTCGCAAGTTCCAAGTCGTGTGTCTAATAGTTCTGTTCATATTGCTTTAACTGTCTCGAGGCGTAAGCAACAAATTTTCCACGTTGCATCAAAACACAGCTTAAACACTGCTTGGAGGCGTCGCTATAAATTACAAACCCATTAGAACATTCCGGTATCGTCAATATAGAAGTTGAGACTAACCTCTGCTTGAGTTATTGGAAACACTTTTCACACTTTTCCATCCACTGAAATTTCACCCCTTTTCTAGTCAACTGAGTCATTGGCCTCGCTATTTTTGAAGAACCCTCAATGAATCTCCTATAATAGCCAGCCAACCTCAAGAAACTACGAACTTCACCAACACTGATCGGTTTAGGCCAATTCGTTACTGCTTCCACTTTAGCGGGGTCCACTTCGCTTCCTTGGACGGCAACCACGTGAACAAGAAAACTTAAGCGATCAAGCCAAAATTCGTACTTCTTGAATTTGGCATATAATTTCTCCTTCCTTAAAGTTTCGAGCACCATTCGATGTTGTTCCTCATGCTGCTTCTTATTCTTTGAGTATACAAGTATGTCGTCAATAAATACTATGACGAACTGGTCTAAATACTGATGGAACACTCTGTTCATGAGATCCATAAATACAGCTGGGGCATTAATCAAACCAAAAGGCATGACAGTGAATTCATAATGCCCATAACGAGACCTGAATGCAGTTTTCGATATATCGCTTGCCCTGATTTTCCGTTGGTGATACCCCGACCTCAAGTCAATCTTTGAAAACACAGTAGCACCTCTTAAGTGGACAAACAAATCTTCTACTTTTGGCAATGGGTACTTATTTTTTATGGTCAGATGGTTCAATTCCCGGTAATCAATGCACATTCTCATACTCCCATCCTTCTTCTTGACAAAAAATACAGAAGCTCCCAAGGAGATACAATTGGTCGAACGAAACATTTCTCCAGCAACTTCTCTAATTGCAACTTCAATTCTTGAAGTTCTTTTGTTGCCATTCAGTATGGGGCCTTAGATATTGGTGCTGCTTCAGGAACCAAATCAATTGTAAATTTCACTTGCCTATCTGATAGAATGCCTGGCAAATCTTCTAGGAACACGTGCATAGTCTCACACGATGTTAATATCATCAACAGTCATTTCTGTATGTTGAGAACTGATGATGTTAACCAAGATTCTCTGGCATGACTCATTTCTCAACATCTTCTCCGCTTGCATAACCGATATAAGACAAGGTAGAGACTTGAACTTCGCTCCAAAGAAACAAAATTCTTCTTCTCCTAGTCTGTGAAATAACACCTCCTTCTCGTAACATCGAATGGTCGCATGATTAAGTCTCAACCAATCCATGCCAAAAATAACATCAAAATCTTTCATTTCCAAAAGGTACGAGTCTGCCTCCAATATTTTTCCATCAATCTCTTTCTTCGTAGACTTAGTCATCTGATTTGTGCAAAGAGCTTTTCCTAAAGGGATACTAGCCTCTAATTCATTAGTCATTTTCACACATGCAACATTAGACTTAACGATAAAGGATGTAGAGATAAAGGAATGTATAGCCCCAAAGTCAAAAAGTACATAAGCAGGTACATCAAATAATAATAGAGTACCTGTTTTCATAATTATCATGTTAAACTTAGCTACTGATGATGCAAAAATCGAAAACATGAACTGGTACTTAAATAATAATTGAATACCTGCTATCGCATTCGGATCCCGCTTTGCCTCTTGCTGGTTCAATGCGAAAACTCGAACCTTCCCCTTTTTGTTCTTATCTAGGTCGTCATCTTTGGTCTTCGGAGGCTCTGTACAGTTAAGAGCTATGTGTCCAGGTTTACCACACTAGAAACACACATTTTTCCGAAATAAGTATTCACCCCTTTGAAGTTTATTACACTTAGGACAAGGTGTATTACTTCCACTCGCCCCATTAATACAAACTCTGGTGCTGGGCCTTTTATTAGGCCAGTTACATCTGTCCTTGCTCTGAACATTCCACTTTCTTTTTCCAAACGACTCCTTGCTCTATTGGGCATACTGTCCAAATGTTGTCCTCTGATAAGAAATGACATGAGCTCTATCCAACATTTCACGATATGAAGTGAAACGATGGGACATAATGATCATGCCGATCTCTGTGCGCAGTCCATTTTCAAACATCCTATTTTCTTAACTTCGTTATCGACTAAGTACGGGGTATATCTTGAGAGCTGCTCAAACTACCTCTCGTAATCAGTAAGTGATATGTTTCACTGTCTGAGTTGTAAAAACTCTGATTCTTTGAAGTCTCTTAAAGCTGTGGGAAATATTTTGCCATCATCCTTAAACTACTCCCAAGTTAGGATACGTTGCTGCTCTTCTGTCCTAGTACGTGAGACAGATTCCAACCAATGACTGACCGCTCCAATCAACATGAATTCTACGCATAGTACCTTATGTGCGTCCGTACAAGAAATGTGTAGAAAAAAGTGCTCCAGGCCTCTAATCCACTCCTCAATGGCCAGTGGGTCGGAATCTCTGTCGAATGTATGAGGCTTATATTTACAAAACTGTTCAACTACTGAAACTGCTCCAGGAACGAATGGAGGTGTATCTCGCTATGGCGACGCATTTTGTGGTAGAGGTACTTGATTCTATCTGGTCAACTCTTACACCGCTTGCAACAAGTCATGCATCAAATTTATATGGGTAGGTAGGGCCATTTTCTAAAAATTCAAGTTATTCGTCACACACCAATACTGAATCTAACATATATACCTATCTATTATAAATTTAGCAAGTCAACAAACGGCATGTCTCGAAATTTAAAAGTAAGCAATTTAAAATATTTAAGTTATACAAAAAGTTTAAATAAATGCGTTTTTCTTACCCCTTTACATACTTTAGAGTTGTCGGAGGGTAGTCGATTGGCAGTTGTTGAGTGCTAAAATCTCTTAAATTCTTACCTTTTTAATAACTTAAATATATACATTACAATTTTATTTTATTTATTTATTTATATTTCTTTTACGGTCACAATCACATTTACACCATTTATTCATTAAGGTCGCCGACATGTAATTGTGCATGTACAGCTAACGATTGGTCACAAGAGAAATGACAATTTATCCACATCTCTAAATCCAACAAGAAAGCCCAATGTGTTTATCATCTCTATATATATAGACAAATAGACTGGAAGTTCATAAATATACAATCTTCAATAATTAAAAATGTAAATTAGCAATTATCTCGTACCAATATGACAAGAGATTTAATTAAACAATTATATAGATAAAATATTAAATTAATATATTTTTGCTTTAAATACTGATTGGTCATTTGAAATTCAATATGACCTAATGGTTCTAATGGAAAGAAGATAGGGAAGTCACACTTGCATACAAAATTCTAACTCTAAATACATACGTTAATTATGCAAGTTATTAAATATTACGTGAAAGGCATAAATTCATTTGTGCACCTTGTAAAATGTAAGACTATTAAACATATATTTTTCTAAAAATTCAATATTTAATTGGCTCTAGCAAGGATTTCTAAACTTTGGGGGGGAAAAAAAGGGTTATCGGGACATATAATATCCAATCCTAAATAAGTAAAATAATACAATCCTATTTTACATTATATTTAGAAACAAATTCACGTTTTTTTTTTTTTTTTAAAATCTAGGTATATAAATTAATCTACCTATAAGGTCTAATTAACATAAATAAATATATGATACCACATAGTTTATATATAATAGATAAAAGTTTTTTTTTTCACTTCACTGTTCACATGAACAGTGAAATGCAATGTTCAGTGAACAGTGCAGCTGGCACCATTCACCATGAACAGTAACACGTCATTTTTTTTAAGTCTACAGAATCGATTTTAAAACCTGGGCTCTAACACCAAACTGTAACGATCTAAAAAAAAAACATTTAATTCAAAACTTTATTTAAAATGCAAACTACATATTTTCATTTGCAAATAACCATGTACGAAAATTTATTCATAAATAAATGTCTATTGCAATAAAATTAAAATAAATAAAATTACGTGCTAACTTAGATCTTTATCTAGCGAAAACAAGGTACAAACACACCATCGAACCACCAACAAGACCCGATCTAACTTGCGAGGTGTAGGAAAAAAGGGTGAGTACCCATAGGATATGAAAATTCTAATGGTGCGATCTTGATTAATAATTTTAAACACGTGTAAGAATATCATACCGTCTCATATCTTTAAAATTCGGTAAGAGCTCATATCATATCATTGTACCGAAATGGTCATATCATTCATATAATATCATTTCATATCATAACTTTAACTTTCATGAGTACAAAATTTATTAACGTGTAAAAAATAAAATAATAAATAATAAATAAAAAAAATTAAATGGGTCACAAAACATTGCACCTCGATATCCTACCTTGATTTGATTGGTGATAAAGATTGTTGGAAGACAAGCAAGAGTTCCTTCACAAAAATTCTCTAATGCAGTGCATATTTATCCAAGCAGGGTATTATAATTTTATTTTATTTCTTATTTCTAACTTGAAATATTGATATATGGTATAACAGAATTCACTTCCATAATATTTGCATCGCCATAATGTCACACGTTTTCTCTTTCCCATGTAGTTGGCTCAATTTATTGGTTCCCATTAGTGCTCTGATATCAACATAGTGGGGGTGTGATAACACTCTGTATTCTAGCCTACAACAAGCCCTTTGGGCAACAACATAGGGCCTGACTTTCGGTATTACCAAACCTCCATAGTGAGGGTGTGATAACACTCTGTATTCTAGCCCACAACAAGCCCTTTGGGCAACAACATAGGGCCTGACTTTCGGTATTACCAAACCTCCATATGGGATCATATAATCAGTAGTGCCAAATTTTCTGATGCAGAGGATCCTCAAAGAGGCAACTGCAAAGCATACTTTTGATACTACTTAGATCTTGTTCTTACTTATTCATTCTGAAATTTTCACAGTTGTCAAGACTATGGAAGAACAAAGAAAGGATTTTAGAAGAACATTGTTAAGAGGGACAAACTTTTATATTAAGAAGAGTTGAGCTCGAGATGATCCTCAATGAAAGATAAGAGCTCCTTATATAGAGGAGGAGCCTCATCATACAACCGACACAAAACTAATAGTACTACCAATGACTCATCACTTTTAGTACAATACTTATTACATAAGGACATGACTCATCACTTTACTAGCATGACTTACTACTTTTAGTACAATAATTTTACAACCATCTTTTAAAAAGTAAAGAATCTACTTTTTAAAAGAGATTTTATTGCAAACGACAAAATGATTATTTCACATGAGCTGCTGAGTCATCAAGGTGTTCCAAGATTTGCTTCTCGTCCAGGTTCATTTGAATCATCTGAATCAGAGGGGAGTCCATGTTGCTTCCACCAACGCCTAGTTGTAGTATCAAATTTTTCTTTAAAAATTTTTTCTTCCAATTTTTCAAGATTGTCTGGCTCTGTTGAATCAAAATCATACGACTGTGTTCCATAATCATATGGATCTTGAGAGTCCTGGAAAACACTGTCATTATAATTAATTTCCGTGTCCAAATATCTTGAAGTTTGTTTACAAGTGGAATAAGGAACCTTAGAATTCACCCTACCTGTTGATGAAAAAATGGGATTTGAGAGGACCACCAGCTAGTAGATCAGAAAGATTTGTATGGAATGTCCTACTCCTGCCTGAGCTTTCCGATCAACCAATCCAATCCCCTATTTCAGGGACATTTGTGTTAGGTAGGCCCAGGGATCACTAATTAGTTGAATGAACCCATCTCTCTGGCCTATCATTTGTTGGTCGATCCGGCTGGCATTTCCTTCATATCTATGGGGGCCCTTTATACAAGTTTGCCTGGATTGCTTGGTCCTGGTTTGTCCACGTCCATTTTATCAATTTTCATTTTTTCTTGAAATTCATTCCAGAGACTGTTACGCAGTTGTTGTCTTTCTGGTATGGTTTCTGGATATTTAGATGTTTCTCCAAGGCATTGATGTGGCCTTCCCAAGTAAAGCTGGTTCCAATGGGTTTTGTCATTTTCCCAAGTAGCAGATGGATAGTGTCCAAATACTTGTCTAAAAATTTGGCATTGTCCTTCTCTGTGTTTCTGAATGTCTTGCTAAATCTTGGTTGCATAGTCTAGAGGTAGAATTTTCCATGGAGCATCATCTTCTATGTCTGGCCAAATTTGTGAAGGAATTGTCTAGTTGATTTCAGCCATTTTTCTTTGAAATTCTCGAAACTCCTTTGGATACCTTTCTCAATCTTGATGGAGATTGAAAGGTTAGACTGCATACTCCTTAACATAAGAGAAGTGTTCATAAGAACCTGTTTCTGTAAAATATCCTTGCCGTTGGAAAATCAGAATTACAAAAACATTGTTTTGGGAAGTTCTCAAATCTTTAAATTTTAAAGAAAATGCTTCAAACATTTTTATCCAATGAGAAATAGGATAAAACCATTCGAAGAATTTCTTTGCCTCAAAATGTGCTTCTTGAAATGGATCATTTTTGTTAAAACTTCGAAAAGTGATTTCTTTGAACCATTCAAGAGATTCACAAACATTAAAAGAAACTCCAATTTGGAAAAGTTCCAATAAGTACCACAGAAAACAAAGTAATTCCTTTGAAAATTTTGAAACTGCTTGGTGTGGGATTATATGGAACAAATTAAAAAATGGATAATTTGGATGAAATCCAAGACCACCAAAGTTTCAATTCCTGTTTGCCTGATAATAATGGACTGGTATTTTAACATGAACTCTTGGGCTCGGGAATGGAGGGTTTTGTCTCTGATGAGAGTATTAAGTTATGGGGGAATTTGTTCATTTTGAGAAAGCAAATGAAATGGAAGGTTCATCATACAGATTACAGGGATAGGTTGGGAGTGAAAAGCTTTTGGTCTGGTGAGTAGGTCTGGAAGGACATTGGTTTTTCCCTTTATATGTTTAACATCAAAGTCAAAGTTTGAAAACCATTCTGCCCATCTGAGTAGTTGAGAATTTGGAATTTGTTTTTGTTTGAATGAAAGCATTTTAGGGAATGCTGACATGCCCATTTCAATAAGAAATTTGTGTCCAATGAGATGAAACTGAAATTTCTCAATACCACGTTTAACCGCCAAGATTTCTTTGAAAGTGGAATGATAATGCTTTTCTGCTTCTAAGAATGCTCCACTTTTGTATCCACAAATGTTTCTTTTTCCATTTTTCTCCTCCAATAGAACTGCTGCCCAATATAGATCACTTGCATCAATTTGTAAGATCCTTTTCCCGTTAGTAGGGATAGATAGAGCTGGAAGTTCTTGCACCTTTTGTTTGATTTTTCGGACTGCTTCTGTTTGTTTTGAAGACCATGGTGGTGCATCTTTTTTCAGCATGTTCTGCAATGGTATGATAATAGGAGTTAAATGATCAACAAAATTGGCCATGTAATTTACAATCCCAAGGAACTGTTGGACTTCTCGTTTAGAGAGATCTGTGTCTGCAAACTTTAACAATTCCTGACCAACATGTGGTTGTAACGAATATTGACCATCTTTAATATGCATGCCCAAGAAATCAATTTCAGAGACTCCAATAACCATCTTTTTCTGAGAAAGCATTATTCCAAATTGTTTTGTCAGATCAGCAAATTGAGACAACAGTTGAGAATGAGAATCGACATCTTTTGAGAACCAGAGAATATCATCAATATAGATTAATGCTGACTCTAATATTGGATGATAAATTCTTGTGATAGCCTTTTGGAACAATGATGGGGCCGTCTTAAGACCGAATGGCATAACCGTCAACTGATAGTGGTAGTTTGGGATACAGAAACATGTCTTATGCCTTTCATCTTTCTTAATTCCCAATTGCCAAAATCCTGCTTTTAGATCAAACTTTGAAAATATCTGTGCCTTGGACAGACTGGCAAATAAAGTTCTTTTGTTTGGAAGAGGAAACTTGTCATCAGCAAGGAAGTGATTCAATGGTTTATAATCAATCACAAGTCTCATTTTTCCACGAACTTGTTCACTTCTTTTGTTGACATAAAATGCTTGGCATGCCCATTGAGAAGTAGTAGGTTCAATGAGACCTTCATCTTGCAATTGGCTTAACTCTTTGGTTGCTAACTGGAGGTGTTCAGGGCTCATTCCAATATGGCTGGCTTTAGTAGGGTTAACGTCTTCATTTCTTTTGAAAGGTAGGGCTATGAAAAAATCTGGATTTTTCCATAGAGGGTGAGTGCATTTTGTGAGAAAATCTGTGTGAGAATCTGTACAACATTCTCGGATTAATAGGCTTGTTATATCATCAAGGCTGGTTATGGAAAAATATGTGGTTGGCTGTATGTATGGCAAAAAGTAGGACTTGTATCTAAGGCCATTTGGAAGAGGATTAACACGTTTTGCCCACAATTGTCGAATGATGTCAAAACCAATTACAATATCCTTCCCTGGTAAAGATGATCCAAGTAACTTGTGTGAGACATTACATTCAAGAAAGAACTGAAGTGTCACTGGCTTACTTATCAACTCTATAAAAAAAATACTCATTATTGGCTGCCTGGAATATTTGCGGATGTGTTTTCCACGTCTTTGGGAGAATGGCTGGATTTAAGATTGAACAAGCTGCTCCAGTGTCAAACAGACCTGCAACTGTGATTGGTCTTTCATATTTTCCTGGAAGTATTTTGACTTCAATCATCGGAACTGGAAGACTAAGATTGATTACTTGCATTCCATAGCATTCCTATATACTGTCATAGTCATTAGTGCTCTCATCATCGGAGTCAAATTCCAGTACGAAAACAGTTTCAGGGGACTGCTCATCTTCTTCAGAGAATACCGATTCAAGGTCCGCTTCTTCTTCCACTTTCGTTGCTGCATAGATTTGGTGTAAAATTCTCTCCTTCTTTTTGTTGGTACAATTTTTACAAAATGACCCTTCTTTCCACAGATAAAACACCTGTCTCCCTTTTTCTTTGTGAATTTCCTTTTAAAATATCTTCTTCTTCGAGGAAAAAATTTGGAAAATCTTTTGTTCCGAAATTTGAACCTCCTCCTGTGGAATTTCTTCTTTCCTAGACAATCACAACTCTTGTTATCATATCGGCACTTAATCTTCAAATCTGGCTGATCACATGCCTTTTCAAACTTCTGTCCTGTTGTACTGATATCCTTTAAAAACTCTCTTTGATTGCAGAGTTTTTTTAAGGTTCTCTTGACCCAGTTGTGAAGCTCTCCAAATGAAGTGGTTCCCAATGATTGTCCTTTTATTTCAATCATTCTGAGTGTTTCTTGACCAAGAGGCTGTGGGATGGACTCTAAGTAAGCCTGCTTTATATTTGTATCGTCCATTCCACCAATGAGGTAGTATCGCCTGGAAGCATTGTGGAAATGTTTATCCAGATCTTTAGGATTGTAAGAACAACATTTCAATTTGAAAAATTCTTCTCTTGCAATATCCTTCAAATGATCCGTCTTTCCCCAGAATTCCCAATATAATGATTCTATGAAAGCATCTATTGTTGGGGAATTAGAATATTGGATCTGGCGATATTCTCCAAGAGCATCATACCAATCTTTTAAGAACCCAGTGATTCTTGCCAGAAAAGATTTTATGACTGCAGAATGAGTCATATTTGGCCTTCGTAATTCTGCTAAACACCATGCTTTCATTTCTTGAAATCTTGCTTTCCACAAAACTGGAGGAATATCATCAAAAGTGAATTTGGTTGCTGAAGTACTATTTTGTGAATAATAATTGTTCACGACATGAGGATCAGCAATTTCTTCATCAATTATTTCAGGCTCATCAACAACAGGAATTCCTTGTTGAGTTTGACTTGAGTGTGGTCTGTCAGCCATATAAAAAAGAGGATGATCTTCTAGAAATTCATCTGAGAACTCTTCAAGTTCAGAACTAGTTTCATTTGGGATGATTAAAATAGGAGTTATAGAGGAACGATTTTGAGTTTTTTGTAGGAAAGTGGTTATGGGGTTTTTTATCAGCATTTGTGGTCTTTTTTCTGGGTTTGGTGGAGGTAAAACTTGTAGATTTTGTGAGGCTAATGGTTTGGTTTTCTTTATATCGGGATGAGAAAGAGGTGTCAATTTCTTTTCCCATTCTTCAGGAGTGAAGAGTGAAAATGTGGATTCATAAGCTCCTGTTGAATACATGGGTCCTGAAGTTTGTGATATATGGGTATATGAGATAGGGTGATATGGAGTAGAAGGTGGGATCATGGAATTGTTTTCAAGAGAAATGAGTTGTTTTTTGAGATTTCTTATTTCTCTTTCTTGATCTGTTATGGGTAAACGGTTTTGTAAAAAGGTCATGATTTCAACATGGAGGGTTTCAATCTTTTGTTTACAAGCTTGAAGAGGGGTTAATAGTGTTTGTGCTTGTTGTTGTAGAGTCCTTTCAATTCTTTGCTGACTTTGGTCAATTTTTCTCAACAGGGAATTTTGTTGGACTGCATTTTCTGACTGCCAGTTTAAAACTGCTTCTGCTGCTGAAAGCTGGTCAACTAAACCATCCGATTTTCTGGATATGGGATTCCTGATCTTCCAAGCATGAGTTGACTGCTCTTTGTCAAAAGAGGACAATGGAGGAAACTCTTCTTGTTGAGGAGGGTGGAACATAGCTATAGGCATAGCTATCTGAGGAGATGGAGGTGAACTATTATCCCAGTCCCATTTTTTATGTAGTTGGTCGCAATCCCATGGATCACCATTATCATCATCATCATCCCAACTAGTAAGAATAATAGATTCATCACTTGTAGGAGGTGGAGTGTACTTGACATAATAGTCAAATTTTCTAGAGGGTTCTCCTAACAAATCAACTTCTGCAGATTTGTTTTCATATGCTTCACGCAACTTTTGTTGGCTATTCTTCTTTTTCTTCTTCTTCCTGGAAGGACGATCGTTAAATAGATCTTCTTCATCTTCTATGCATTTCGCACAGAACCATACATCCCAATAAATATGTCCTAAGTTATCAGATTTGCAATAAATTGGCCTGCCATTTGCATCAAATCCATAAATGGAAATTTCTCCATTGGAAAAAGCAAACTGTGTTGGAAAATAAAGATGCTGATTGTATAGGCAGAGAGTCTTTTGACGCCTGGTGATGTTGCTCATAACTAGTAACCCAGGTTTGAGGGACCAATTTAATGAGCTTGGATCTAGGAATCTGTCTAGGAACATATGTACAGCTTGGCTGATCTGTTCCCATCTGAATTAATAAAGCATCATCCGTCCCATTAGGAGTGGCAAAATCAAGAGAGTGATTTTGAATTCTGTAAGCCATCTGGTAATGAAGTGTTGCTCCATATGTGACTGCTGTTGGAACTGCCCCAACAATTTGGACCTGGATTTTTAAAGCTGAAAACAATAATGGATCTGTAATTGGCATATTAAAATTTGGAAACATAGTAACAAGTACTATTCCCGCATTGAGTGTAGTTTCCACAGTGCCAATACATGCATGTTGATAATCAGCAAATCGTGTATCTAGAAGAGCAATTCTAAAAACAGCCGGGAGACATTTTCTTCCATGGAGGTTAAGCGCAATTTTTACAGCTCCAAAATGAAGATGGGTAAAACCTTCAGATAACCATACTTTTGGAAGATGAGATGGTAAATCTAAGGTAACAAACTGTTCCTTTTCAGTAGCAGGTAGAAGATGCTGATCAAACTTTGATGCCTGAACATATTCTTTGATTTGGGATTTTGATGGTGAAATGATACTTTTAACAGTTTTGGTGAAGGAATTTCGAGGTTTGTTATATGGAAGGTAAGGATTGACAAGAGGTAGATCTGTAACTGGAATTTTTTCAGATTCAAGTAGGTAAGATATTTCATAAAGGGAGTCGATTTTAGAAGTATTAGATTTTCGAAAGGAGGTGAAGGGTGCTAATATAGATGAACTAGAAGATTCAGACATAATTTTTAATGTGTTCTTCCTAGTTTCTTTCAAGCTGGATAATTCCAATCAGAATAATAAGATCAAGATAACAACATGGCTCTGATACCAACATAGTGGGGGTGTGGTAACACTCTGTATTCTAGCCCACAACAAGCCTTTTGGACAACAACATAGGACCTGACTTTCGGTATTACCAAACCTCCATATGGGATCATATAATCAGTAGTGCCAAATTTTCTGGCCCAAATCACGATATGTCATGTACTAGGTCAAAAAGTACATAATATAATGCCCCCGTTTGGTCTCCTTTCTCATTCTCTTTCTTTTTCTCTCTCTTATTTTCAACCACATAATCTTCCATAAATTAATATTACACACAAATCAAAAAAAATTCTTTCTTTTTCAACCACACATTTTATAAAATAAAAAAAACACTATTCCAACCATTAAAATTTGGCAAGAATGGAGGCCAAACGGGGACTAATATACTATATCCTTTTTCTTTTCTTTTTTTAAATTAAAAAAAAAATTTACCTAACCCCTACTACACGTGATTGGCACCATTTATAAATTCAACATAAGTATAAACAATTATCAATAATTTGACAATGACTATAAACTTTATTGTCTTGAATCTCACTTATCCGAATCGACTTTTTTTCGAGCCTCACACGTGTAATTAACTATGAGCTTTCCAACAAACCCAATATTGATATATTTTCATTACTCTATCACTAATTAAATATTTGACACAAATAAAATTTAATGTATATATGTTATTTTAGTCCCCCAACTTTCCAAGTTTAAAACATAGTATATTAAATAATTAATTCTAGTAAGTAAAAATTTTCGAAACTTTACAGGGAGGGACAGGGAATGTTTTGAGTCAGACATAGGGTTGGCAACAAGGAGGGGCAAGGATCCCGCCCTCGCCTTGTCGAGCATTTTCCCACCCTATTACCCGTCTAATATGAGGTCGGATAGTTGTCCCGTTTACGTGGCCAATTAAATTTTTATTTTTTTTAAATTCATTTTACTATCCTCATTCAATCAAGTGAAACAATAATATAGTTATTAAATTTCTTAATTAATTAACTTTTTTTTAAAAGTTAAATTATTCGAATATATTTGATAAGCTAAGATTATTATTGTTTATCGTATTCTTTGGATAATCTTAATTGTCATATTCTATTAAAATTAAAAATTTCTTGAAGTTTTTCCATTTAAATTATTGAATTCTTTAAAAAAATTAATAAATGAATAAATGGGGTCAGGCTGGGCCCCTGTTACCCTTACCTATACCCGTCTCGGGATCGAATTTCCTGCCCCTTACCTGTCCCGATTAAGCAGGTAAACCCCGTCCCATTCGGGGTAGGGCCCCGCAGGTATCAGGTTCAATGGATATTTTTGCCATTCCCTAGTTGGACAATCAACTTGTGACTTTAAAAGACAATCTTTCTAGGATGGACTGACAGGTTCAATAAATCATGCATCTGTGAGCACCCATTTTACAACTCAAACCTTCAGAGAGCAAAATATTGTTCACATTCAAAATTGAACTGCAAAACATTTATAGTCAGTGCCAGAAATTGGACAGTAGTGCAACAGTATCAAGATTCATTTTTGGAAATGCTTCTAACAGTATCCAAACCTTAAGCAATCACAGAAGTGCAAAATAGTAGTTCACAAAATAAAAATGAACTACAATAACACATTAATGGTCAAATTTTGCAGACCTTTGCTCAGAGAAAAAAGCTGTGAATAACGAATGACTTATAGAATCCAAACGAATACAACCATTCATCAACACTCAGCTACCACCTGCATCCACCGAAGTTCAGATTTTGAATCAGAAAATAAAATGAGGACGACGTGCATCTGAAGCTTATTTGACCTAAGCTCATTTTTTCCCTCCATAGGCTCATCTCAGGTTCAGTTTCTGTCTGCTACGCAACATTGCACAAGAGACAATCTTATGGATTGGACCAAACCTAGGGCGACATTTGAAGTTTATGGCATCACTACACGACCCCCCAAAGTAAGTAATTAGAAACCCCACTGGCACCTCAATCTTGGAAGGAAAGTATAATACTTGAAAAAACCACGATTGACACACTAAGCACCACTATGATAGATTAAGACCAGGATGAAGGAATTTGTGTTGAGCACATATTTTACCACTCAATGGATTTAACAAAAAGAACCCAGGCCAAAAATGAAAATTAATTAAAAAAAAAAGGAAAACACAAAATAGGAAATAGCATCTTCAGCATATAGTAATATAACTTGAAAACCAACCAACGTATATACAATCCATGTACAAGAGCCAACGCTAGAGATACGATATTTAATTTACCTCTTGTCTCAGCAGAATCTCAGGATGCCATATTTGATAAAGAGATAGGTGTTAATGGAGGAGAATGCACTGTTTCAGTCTCATCTTTAATTTCAGAAAGCTTGCCTGCATGTAAGGGGATTTCCCTCTGACTACTGGCAGGTATGGATAAACTTCGAGAAAAATTTAGAGGAGGAGGTGGAAGTGGAGATGCAACTTTTGACGCCAGCAAAGTATTCCTGTTCGTTGGAGATACTGCTCGATTTCTGCTGACCAGGGGAGCAGAGAACCCAGGTACGCCACCTGGCTTATGGACAAAAGAACCAGGAGGCTTAGGTAGCTCGTGAAGTTCGCTTATTTTGGGAGAAGATATAAGGGGAGGTGAAGCACTTGAGGGTACAATCAGTGATGAAGGCTGATGGCGTGAAGGTACACGAGAAAGTAATCCTGATGTTTGTTGAGGTAGCTCATTATTGCCCATCGGTCCGCTAGTAGATAAAAGGTGCTTATTAGATGATTGTTTACTTGCTAATGGGCCGGAGAACGCATGTCTTTTGATTTTTTGAGTATCAAACCCAGTATGTGTATCACATTGTGGGAGTGCAACTCCCTCAATCGATGGAGGGGGTAGTGGGACAAAGAGGCTATTGTTTTCTTTGACTGCTATTTGGGCCTTGGGGGAATTGTGCGCAAACATATTATCATCTGTAAATTTCATGTGCTTCTCAGTGTCAAGTGGGGATGTATGCCAAGGAATTTTGGGTCTTCCGTCAAAGCTTGTATTACTTGATAGGATGGTAGAATTACCAGATCCAGAACTTGAACTCTTTGCATCAGACGGAGTTGGTAGAATGTGTGTACTGTGTTTCTGCACAGATGTCAGTGTTTCTCCAATTCTTTCAGAGCGATCAAGCTTCTCTTCAAATATTGGAGCAGAATGACTGCCTGCTCGAGATTGCCGACTGGTAATTAGCTCTCCTTGCCTTTTGACAGGATTTATCTGCAAGAATGATATGATATTAAGTTCCAAAAGCCACAAAATAGTGATTAATAGCCACAAATTAGGGAATGTATCACTTCTAAGTTCGACGACTGAGATGGAAACCTGGTGGTTCAGTCTAAGTACCCCAACTTGTCTCCCCAAAGGGGCAATAGTGCTCTAGGAACACAGAAAGTATCACTTAACACGCAAAATACTTTTGTGTGCATTCCATAAATTTCTTCATAAAATGTGGTTTGCCTTCTACAACAATGGAAGGGGGTAAATTTTGATTTTTGGCCAATTTTAGAGGTCGATACACATGATAAAACATAGTGGCAACCCTTGGTCATTCAAAGATATTACTTACAGTGTATACCATCTCATCTACAATTTTAAAGAGCAAAGGGATCTCGAAAATTATGCATCATAGAAATATAGAGAAAATTCATTTCTTGCTACAGCTCTTTTAGATATTTCCAGAGTGGATAAAATAGTTTATTGTTAGAGCTCTAATGACAGCAATCATGAAATATACTACCCCGGGTTCAACGTATCTTATGCTCTTACAGATGACCTGGCATCTGAAATACAATTAAGCTCCTATAATTAGCTTCCATTTTCTAAAACTCATTTTTCCTCAAACTCCTTTTCAACTACACATTTCATTAACTTCTATCAAAATCCACTAAAGCTAAACCAAACAAGGGTTAAGTAAAAACATACCCTATATGTTAAAAAAAACAAAAAAAAAACAAAAAAAAATGTAAATATTAGAGAAAAAACCAATGATCACCAATTGATGGCAGCTTCATTATGAAAAAGAACATAGCGAGTTAAGGGTAATATAATCTAACAATAAAAATAAGAGTCACTATATTAAGGGGAATGAATAGTCTCAATGCTTTAACAAACAAGCTGAAAAGGCTAGATTCTTGCCTAGATGATTAACCTCACCTCAGTGGAGTNTATACCTTTTCTCATCGCATTGCAATTTCATTTCCTGCACCAGTTTAAAAGATAATACCACTAAGTATGCATGGGACAGAAGTACGTAGGAAGAGGTGTATGAGTCATGATACGGCACATATACTATATGATCAGAGACCAAAATGATTCATGTTATTTAGAGGCAACAATATAAAGTCTTTAAATGCAACCTTGTAGACACCACATTTCCCAGGGAAATTCCGACAAAGAGCAGGTGGACTACAGGGGCTTTTCCAGCTTTATTCCCTCACGTAATGCCATGTAAGGGAATGATCTATTGATTACAGAATAATTTACCTAGGGATACATATTGCAGCAGAAGTTTACAGCATCCAATGGTATATACAGAACTATTTGTGGACGATATGTAGGAAGTAGTCATTTAAAGTTTATAACTGAGTTCAGCATTTACAGACACAATCACCTGGTAGGAAACATCTCATGCTGGGTCTATTTGTAAATTTTTATTATCTTATTCCCACCAACTCCTTGAAGTCTCTATCTTAGCTCCTCGTGTGCCATCTGTTTAATTAGCTAATACATACTTGTACTTCAAGATACATTGTCAAAACATGCCAATAATTAATTTACTATAAGCTTTCCATCCAAACCAATTTTAATAATTAGATTAAAAAATAAAAAATACAAAGAGAACACATTGCTGGGTCTGCAAACTGCACTTCTCTCATGTCTACAGACCTTATTCTCCTTCCTCTATATATGTGGGTATCACCCAGAAATCAATCAGTGCATGTTAGGCTAAAATTTATTATCTCCTTAGAATTTGAAGTTAAAAGTCAAACATTAATTTTAATCCCACATTCACAACTACTACCCATTTATTGTTCACATATTTTGACCCACTACTCCTCTTCATTAATTTCTCCCAAACAAGCAGTCATTTAGAGGAACTCAAAGACACATAAAATAGATTGGTGATTGATATACAAACCTCCACTTTTCTTAGCTCAGTGAGAAGAGACTCTGATGGGTTTGTAATTGTCAACATAATATGAGATCGCTGAAATGTAGAGAA